AAATATAAAGCTGGGAAAAAATTGCTTGATATCTCTCGTATATACTCCCAAAAGTATCAAACCTACCGAGCAGTTAAATTGACTTTTTGAAATTCTATAGAAACTTCAAGAGTGTATCTATTGAGACTTTAATTGATTTATATTTCAGTTTATATATCGCTAAATCAATTTCTCGAGTAATTTCTCAGAGAAATGTCTGTTACCTTTTTAATAATTACAAAAAGAACTCAGGAATGGGTCATTTTGTCTCGTCTGGTAGGTTTAGCGTTAAACACTGATCTGCCGAAGAATTCGCTCAATCTTCTTCCTAATTGCTCAACCATCTTGATCATCCCCAACTCATCAAACTTCAAGCATTCCAAACCGAAGCGCAATTAGAATCAGGCCAACGAAGCGCTAAATTGTCCTCCTGTCGCGTTATCTTAGACCCCGGAATCCCCGTTGAAAAAGATTATCACTGTTCGCGGGCATGTTTTCGTTAAATCCTAAGTGATCCAATTTCTACGATTACAGGAACAAGAGCTTCCACTCTGCCGTAATCTCGTTACGGCGGAGAATCTTCCACAAACTAGTGTGTTACGCGAAGAATCCCTGTGTGGCGCGACACTTGACAAGAAATTAAACTTAAATTGTCCGCTTCCCGGAACTTCCGGCCATTCCGCCGGGAAAATCCGCGTACTATCTCTTCCCGCTAAAAAATTAACATCTTTAGGGGCGAATTCTTTCCGGGAACCGACCAAGATGATTTTAATTTCCGTTTGACTGCGGTTTATCGTTCAAACTGAAACGAATCGAACGATACGAAGGAAAAGCAAGTGCCTCTTCGATGGAGTTCAACGCTACATTCACTTTATTGAACTTTTTATGTCACGATACTTTAATTTCTAAGGTCCAAATGAAGGAGTATCAGTTCTAAGAACAATAGAGCAAACTGTGCAATGAATGTCCGTGGATCTAGCGTCAATGTGCGCCGTCCTCGCGCAGGCTGGTTCGACTCAGTTTGAGTCGTCTCGCAAGAAACGGGACGCATCCTACGGATGTTTAATAATTCCTGAGCTCAGTGGCGCGAGGATTCGTCAAATCGCGATCGAACAAAATTCTATGCATCGGGAACAACGTGTCGACGACGGTAACACCGGCGAGAGAGCGCGAGAGAGGGACAGGGACGGGGGAAGAAGAAGAAGGGAGGAGAACGGGATCGGGAAAGGATTGGTTGTAGGTGCACGCGAGTGTGATGGAATGTCTGATGGGATTTATTCCGTGCGACTGGTACGCACAATTCTATTCCGCGAGATCTCGCATCGAAACGGATTCCATTTTGTACCGTCACGGCGAAAAAAGAAACTGTGGACCGACCCGGAGAAATCCTTCGGCGAGGAACAAGAAAAGGAAACTGTATAATCGAATCTCGGGGATGGCTCGTCATCCCGAGCGTAACGTAACTCGTCACCTTGAGAATTAGCTCTAACAACGGAACAGCGGCGGAACGACGTTATTCCGTTGTCAAGCTTATGCTCGGAACTTCGCGCGTTAACGGCGACGTTGTTTCCCGGAATGCGGCGGGAGGGTTGTGAGATCGACATTGGAATTTGTATAATTGTTTTACGCGTTAGAGAGTGGATCGAGAGTTGGATGATCCGTTTGTATAGGATAAGCTGATTTGTTGCTAGTTAATCAAGTACTTCCGTGTGAAACGATTTCTTATAACGCGATTATCTGCGATGCGTTTTATGTAACACGGTTCTTTATGTGACGTACAATTAGAGATATGTGTTTTACTATTTTAGAAGGAACATAGAAAATTCAGACAATAGTCAACCGCGTATTTTATTTACGTGTATTATTCGGGTTGCAAGAATGTAACGCGTTAACGATGGAACTGCTAATCGAAAGGACCCATCTTGGATTCTTATTTTCATAGTTTTGAAAGGACACACTGTTCTGAGGAGTTAACAAGCCGATTCACTAATGTGCATTCTAAATCAATCGAAATCTTGATAAATGCATTTTAGTCATTCACGTAAGGGAATACGTATCAATTTGATCGCTTCCAGCGTTAACGTTAAACCAAACGTCAAACGATGCGAAACTTCGTGATTCAATCGACAAGCGATAGGCTTTCCCGGATCGGTAGTCGAGAAAATGAACAAACAAAATTAATCAAGGGAGGAAGCTTGCTTCGAAACTTCTCGCGTCTCCCACGTGACGAACAAAGAACGTCCCGCCGCGATCCCGTAATTATTTACGGCGGTATCGAAAGAAGAGCGCCGTATCGCGGGAATTTTACAGCGGCCAAGAATATTAACTCGAGACATCGGGCAAGAGTCAAGTTTCCCTGCGCCGTCCCGCCGGGGCGGACAAGAGCGGCGGTTTAAAAAGTTTTGATTAAATACGTGTCGGTGCGCGTCGAGGGGTGTCGCGCGGCGACGTTTCGAAATGCCGTTATTCCGATACGGGAACTCGGAACGCCGGGAATATATTGGAATTTCCCTCGTCCCGGAGACATGTGCGACAGCGAGATGCTGGATTCCTGTTTCTTCGGAACGGGACGTTCCACGGTTGTTTGTTGGCAATGTTAAGCAAGTTTAAACATTAAGTTAATATATTATGTGTAGCAAGTTATATTATATTAACACTGAAACTATCAAAAGGTCAAAATGACCCATTCCTGATTTCTTCATTTTACAATTATTGAAAAGGTAATAGGTGTTTCTCTGAGAAATTGCTAAAAAAATTGATTTAGCAATACTTTTATAAAGCATTATATATATAATATTAAATATTATTAAAATTTCAGAAGAAAATTATATTAAAAAAATTAGATTTAGCGTTAAGCAAGTTTAACCATTCCGAAAACGATCTGGCCGAAAACTTTTGAACGCCACTTGTATGCCGCGATGACAATTGTAAGACAGTTAGGTGTTATTGACGAGTATATTCGTCATGAAGAAATGGCAAGGCTTTGTGCTATGAGTATACTCGTCGAAACAACTGTAACTTAGTATTTGCGACACACTTTCGATGCACACTTCTCAAAGAAGCAACAGGTAATTGGCGAATATACACGTTTCTTAGCATTATTCGATTTGGTTAAACTGAGGAATTACGGTTACGAGTTAATTACGTGTTGTATGAATTAATATAGTTCATGGATCGTCGGATGGCAAGCTAAGCGAAAGAAATATCCCGTTCAAGGTGAAATGAGAAAGTTAAAGAAGTTAAGGGAGTCGTAAGTGGAAAATAGTTGAGGGATAAAATATTTTGAAAGTTATTGCGTATGTTTGGAAAGTATTGAATTCACGTCAGCGGACGAGACTGAGTTAACACTAGGTTGATGCTTCCGCGACGCGCCGCCATTTTGTAGCGATCCCGCGAAAATGTCTGTATCCACGTGCGAGCGTTTCACAATTTGCTGGAGACTTCAACGGTGTTATTTTGGTTCGCCGAGTATGTCGATGAGAAAAGAGAAAATTGCGACTACTCCATTGCGACTGCTTCGATGTTTAAAGATTGCGATAAACTTCGAGGTATGTTTCAATGTTTCATAGCTGGAATTTTTTGTTTTCGTTACGTTGGATCGGTGAGAAAATGTTCTTCCCAAGAAATAGTTGCAGAAAATCTGTTTTATAAAATGATAGAAGAATTGCGGAGTGAAAGAATTTGGTTTATCGTTCAGAAAATTAAATAAAATTTTATTTAACGTTTAATGGTTCATTTGTTGAACTACAAGGAAAATCTAAAATATCTTACGTAAGTTTCTTAGCGTTCAATTTACAAAACTGTGGTATCAGGGGAATGTAATATTCTTTTTTAATTATCCTGCATTTGATGAACACATGAATTAGTTGTTAAGTTTAATTATTTGCTAAGCCACCCGACAATGTTGTAAGTATCATGGTTACCATATTTACTCGTTACTGGGATATTTGCTCGGTAAAGCGTAAGAAGTTAATACGCTAAGATCCCCATAAAAAAGCAGGATTGAATAAGAAACGACGAAAAGGCAGGCGATATTAAACTTCGTCGAAGTACATAAAAGACTGATGAGAAGTTGAGCAAAGAACTTGATCGAAGTAATTAAATGAATACTAATAACACGGCGATATAAAACTTAGATTAAAGAATTGAGCGGGAAGCTTAATGACGGCCCAATTAGGAGCCCAGCCAGTTTTTTCCCCGTGTAAGACGTATCTAGGTGAATTATAATAAATTCTACGAATACACTACAGAGAAGGCGTCGCTATTTCCATGAAAGAAATATGCAAAAATATACTGCAAAATTATTCTTAAAAAGGGAAACGTTTCAAAAAACTCTATCCCCGCCGCAGAACGTTCAATTAAAATGGCAAACCTCGTCGGTGGAACAATAATTTGCATATATATTAAAAACAGAAATTACTAATGAATATACATCTACATAACAAACAACCAATTACTCTCTCCTACTCACTAAACATAAAACAATGTACTATTCGCTAAGACACAAAACACCCAACGTTCCCTACCCAATACAATCATTACACCGAACCGATAATTATAAAATGATTCCTCCCAAAACTGAACACAGCTTCATCAAACAAACTCAACGAAAACCCAAAACCTAAGATTCACCTACGAAAACCACGATCCTCACAACGGAACAACGAAAACAACCAAAAGGAACCTCCGTTCTTCGAAACACGCCCGATCAGCAACGGTACGTCCCACTTGAACCCCATGAAACACCAAAATCTCGTATTCCCGGAGCCCGTTGCATGAATAACGCAGCCGGCACGTCGAACTAAATAATGGAAATCCGCGTAACAAAGATGACACGGGCAACACTTCGTACGCGGGTCCGGCGCGAGGAAAAAGCGTCCGTTATTTCAAAATTCCATTGTCGCGGACGGGACGTCCTCTAAATAATTCACGGGCCCGCGAGTGCAATTCCTCTCGCTCCCTCGGCATCGTGAGCCTCGTAAGCCGCGGCGCTGTCAGCGATACGTGAATAAGGGACTAACCTGTTGCCCGATCGCCGGACACGAAGGGAAATGCTCTGGGAACTTCGGGAACTGGTCTCCGGAAGCGGGTCCGCTCACTTGGTAGCGCGGTCGGTGGCGTTGCTTGCGAATGAAACAGATCTTCGTCTCCTATTTCCTTCCCCTTATCTCTTCCGTTCGACTGCGGGCTGGGTCGCGTGGACAAGATCCAAGGGTACAGATGATAGTGGCGAGATCCGTGATGGTTCAGCCCTTAAATACGCGCGGTCCGCGAGGCGCGGCCATGCGCGGTCCCGCGCGCCGGCCGGCCAGGCGAAATCGCACGCACATCACACCCTTCTTCGCGGCCGTGGTTGACGTACGTTTTCAATTTTCCCGTGACACGTCCGATGAAAATTTCATGGGGCACACGCGGCGTACGCCGTTACGCAACCGCCCCCGTCCTTGTCGGCTCCTTGAGCCGCGCCGAGGCGGCCGGCAAACGAGATTTTTTAACGGTGCAACCGGTGCCGCGAACTTTCACCGTTCAACGACGGTTACGCTCAATGTTTCAGCAGCTTCCCGACGGATTTTAGATTGCACCCGGCCAGTATCTCGCGCGATCCTGCCGGAGGATCCTACGGGATCGATCAGAATTTCCGGGGGAAGAGGACTGCTCCAGCGTCGGTTCGCTGGGAAACATAAAACGCAGCGGATTTTTTGATATCATCCTTTTAAGGACCCTTAGGGGGTCGCCGAGATTCGAGATTCTCCGGGTTTTTAGATGCAATCACAGGATTATCTCTTGGGGATGATCGAGGCTCCGAGCTCGTGGGGTTGCTCGGGGACCGATGAGACTTACGCGGATGTCTTAACCCTTGTGGGGTCTTATCAGTGGAATTTCATCGTACGAATGTCCTTTTAATGGGATTTTTCATGGTTCTCTTTTGAGGTGGTTTTGAGCGTCAATGGGATTCGGTGGGGATTTCGAGGACTTCGAAGTGTGGCTCGGGCTTTTAGAGGGCACTCGGGGTGAGATAATGGGGTTCAAGTTTTGAATGCGACGAGTTTTGGCGAGGATCATCTTTATTCGTTGGGAGAGACGTTGATAATGGGCTTTGGAGGATTTTTAGTTTACTGATAGGGTACTTCGAAGGCGACTGAATAACGTTTAATTGTGCTTATTGAAATAAGGATGGAGAAGGCAAGAAGGATGCATTGCGACGCGATACGGAATATATTCTTGAAGATGAAAATAACGATGCAACGAGAAACGTTCATAGTTGTTTGTCGTGGTTATTAGTTCCATTAATATAGCTTGTTCGAACTGATTTCCTTTGTTCGATCGACACGGGACGAACACGTTGAGATGACAGGTTTATTCTGGTTTTTGGCGACGCACCCTCGGGAGGTCCAACAGTTTTTATTACGAAATCGCCTTATATGCTGTATAGAGTATACGTATTCGTCGATTTCATGTTTAAATGTTTCCCAATTGCGATCCCTCACCTCTCCTTTCCCATTCCCCCCGACCGGGAAACCCTTTTCTTGTGACGTTGCTGAATTACAAAACAATGTTCACCCTGCTCCGTTCATTTTTACGCTTGAACGACAAATGTTGCGACGGCCGTATACCGTTTCGGTAATAACGTTCTCAAATACATAACACGAAACCGAATTTCACGTTATATAATATAACACGTTTTCGTTTAGAGACATGGAATTGACATAGTCGATTACGTTACTTCAGAATCAATACATTCTAATGTCCATACAAACTAACCCCACAGAAAAGAATAATAGTCGACCAAATTGCTTAAAAGCCAACACATCTTAATCTCTAGAAAAACGATAATAAACTATTATACCTATTATAAACTACAGAACTATATTAGTATAATAATCTATTTACTGGTGCATCCAAAAGTTATTATTCCAATTTCACAGTGTTACAAAGCATATCACATCTCCATTCATCTCGATCTATTCCGTCAGAACTGAGAAAAAGATAAGTCAAGGTGATGCACCGTCCTCGGTGCAGAAGCAGTGTTATCCCCGTGAATCTCTGCATTCGAAATTCGAGGAAGCTCGCCGGAGGATAAATGTTTCGCGTGCTTCGCGAAAGTGAACCGGAGATGATCGTTAAGTAAAAGGGCTCGCCGATAAAAGAAGTTTACGTCCGCGTCTCGTTCCGAAAACTCGGCGGAGCGGTTTCGACGCTGCGCGTGGAGGATCCATCGGGAAGATCGTCGGGCAATAAAATCGGCGGGACGTGTACGGATATTGGGAGGGACTATTGGGGGATACCTCGAGTGTCCGCTGCTTCTAATCGGGAAGGACAAACATGGAATCGAAAGGGTGCCGAATGTACGTCGGCCGGTTGATTGTACAGTACTTACACGAGCCGATTAATAAGCGGAAACTCCGGAACGGAACGCGCCGCGATAAATCGAAATGGGCAAACACGGACGAGCCTCGGCAAACGGACGGTTTTTATCGGTGATAAACCCGCGCGGATCACCGCGGAAAGAAGCGGAGCAGCTCCGCGCGCGCAACGGTCACCAATCGCGACTCTACTCGAAGAAATTCCGTTTATCAACAGCTCGCGGTCATTAATCGGTTGCCTTGTAATGTGATGCGGGTCTCTCGACGAAGATTTCAAAGAAGATTAAGTAAATACAAATGGATGAAACAACGTTCGATTTCCTGAAGCACAACAATTCCGACTATATTCCAAATAAATTTGTAGGAAATTGAAATTTCAGATAATAAAATTACTCCATAGCCATTCAATTTAAATGGGAATTCTAATGAAGCTCATTAGCTATCGTTGAATGACAAACCGATCTGAAAATAAGATTCTAACGCGTCGTCCATTTGTTTTGGTTAGTTTCTCCGAGAAACGTGTGAGTCGAACGCCGCCGGCAACGGGAGAGAAAAATGGCGGATCAGTCGGCCAAACGCTCGTTGTCTGGACGAAACTCGATAACTTGAAAGGTATAAGCGACAGAAGAAAATGCTTCAGACGAAAGTTGTGAGGAATAGAGGCAAGCATATGCTGGTTATATCTTTTGATTTTTATCAAGTGTTTTCAAGACGCGACAATTTCAACCACGAATTAATAGATGACGTTGAGACAATTTCGAAGCAGTGAGTCGTGTTCAACATTTCAAACGACTTTTATTTCTTAATTTAGTTTCTAAACTTACAGTATTTCTTTTTCTAGCAATACAATTTACAATATGTAAACAGTGGTCTTAATTCAGCGTTAATTGCACTTATGTTTACTATAAATACATTTCGACGAGTTCTCGATCTGCGTATAAACTATACAGTCTGAAACTCTTTACGCACAGAAACGTTACAAAATGAATCGATTCCACGACGAATATCTTCACGCAAGCTTCGAACTGATTCAATTGAAACCAGATAAAACCTTAAAATGCGAAACGTCGCTTAAAAATAACTGTCTACTGGGTCGCGTAGAGACAACCCATATAGTAGCGAACAACGTGAAGACGTCAGCCTCTATAATTTCCAAAATAAACAAGAAACATGCACAGGAAACCGTAGTCGAACAAGTATAAGACAGTGCAGCTGAATCGAAAACCACGAAAATCGTAACGTGATCGAAGATCAACCGTTTCGTAGACTGATTCGAAGTTATACTTCACGCGCGTTACACGGTAACTCGAGTAGCCAATTACGGTTTTATAATCGGATGCGATGACCTACGAGTCAAATTTTACGGGAAGTAGATCGGTCACGTGACCAGGGTGTTTTACATAGCGCGAGGCTGGACGAAATCCGAGCTCAGTTCCGATGCGGATCGTTCGATCGCTTCGACGAGGATCGATCCGTTTTGGTGGCCGATCCGATTCGCCCGTTTCAACGTCGACGATCGCAAGTTCGCCTGAAAAGAGGTTCCCATCGGTTTCGATCGTAATGGATTACCCGCGTAATAACGGGCGGAAAGTTTGCCGTGGAACGTCTTAAGACGTGCTTCCGATCGAAGCTGTGCGACAGCGTCGAGGAGATCTCCGCGATCCATTGGTAAAGTACAACGGCGGGATAATCGAGTAGTTTGTCTCTAACGAACAGGCCGGAATGAGATTAACGCATTGCCGTGTAAGAACGAGTGCCGTATAATCAGTTCAACAGCTTGACTGTCATGCGAACCGAATTAGGATAACGCAGTTTTCTCGCGTAGATCTGGAAATACATTAGAACAGGAAAAAGTAGAGTGAAATGGAACAGATTTTTTTCAACTAACAAAGTATCTGGAGCGATAAGCGCGTGAAACCTTTTCTGGAAATCTTAGGTAGACCTTCGGATATAAGGAAATGGAAGAATTTAATTAGAGAAATGTTTCATTACGAAGGAAAATACGATTTTCCGAAGGTATACGCTTCGCGAGAATAATAGGGCGAAACGGAACACTCGCGTGAACTCATATGAAAGTTTGATTTCTACTGAATCGAAATTGCTAGCTGAGTATGTTTAATTTTTAGCCGATTTAATAAACTAGAAATGTGTATGGTTTTATGGGCGGAAATCAGAAATAAATGTGTCGCCTTCTTTGTTTGCACTGGTGCAATCTAATTGGTTTGATCTGATCTTCGAGTCTAATTTGCTATGCATCGGTACGATTACATGCAACCAAGTAACACTAGATTTACGGAATCCAATTTGACGGATACTGAATATTTTAAACATTATTGAGTAGCAGTTTCAGTCGACTTTTCTAGTTTTAAAGCTATAATTCTCGCGATCTACATAAATAAACGTGTAAATCTAGAGTTAAAACTATAAACAAAGCACATAGCAAGGGACTCTCATTGGCACTGTGCTGAAGTGTTCCGTTTGGCTCCGCACATCGGCACATCGGAAATCGTACGGCGAAAGGTTAAAAATGTCAGTGACACGTTGCCTCGTGATACCGAGCCGGACTCGCGTCGAAGATCTGAACTTAGAGGAAACGATTGATATGTATATTTCATTCAGCTTGCTGGATTTTTACGATAGCTGTACAATAGCGCTTAATTAAGTTGCAACGCTGTTTGAATTTAAACGCGTTTAAACTACACCGTATAAATACTTTTAATGTTAAAACATTAAAAGTACCGAGTAGTTACATTGACCTTTCGAAGATCCTCTATAGAAAGCTTCAATTGATTTGCAATTCAGTTTGCGAATTGTTAAATCGGTTTCTTTAATAATTTCTCCGAGAAACGTCTGTGATCTTCTTAATAATTGCGCAAAGAAGACAACAGGAATGATAGTTTTAGTGTTGAAAATTGAAGGAAAATTAACCGGGCAAGCATCAACTCTCCGTAACACGCGATGATTATTGTTCACATGGAAATTAAACGAAAACTATCGGTGGTCTCGAAGTGGCGCAGATTTTTTGGCTGTTACTGTACACATTAATCATTTCCTTAATACTAGTATAAATATTAATCAGGTCGAAAGGAAATATTTTTATTCTACGAGCGTACAACCTAACCCAGACGGAGCGCGGACTGACAATGAAGGAGGCAAGATATTATAATACGAAGATCTCCATGGAAGTTCCGATCGCTGCAATTTCATTCTAGCAACAGAAATTAACTGGAAGCTCGTTACGTAATCCGTTAAGGGTTTTATACAGTTACAAATAAGATGAGCTGATATTACGCCCATCGAAGGTCGCGTCTTATTGCGTCTCTCGACGTGCGATTTTTCGAGAGAGCTTTCCCGTTCGCGTGGAAAAGGGCAGAATTTGCAAACGAAACTGGCAACATGTATTACAGATTGTAATGCGAAATTAATTAATGCGCGATAGATAGAACGAACCCGTGCGGAATAAACACTCGATTTGGGATTCCGTTCATTAGAATTTTAAATACAACGTGATAATTCCCACAGTCTCCATAAACAATGGCGTATTATGCACTTTTTAAATCTTGTTTCATTGTCGACTGTATACATTGTTTGTTGACGACGCATTAAACCCGGAAGATAATTAGGTCGTTTGCAAAAATTTACTAATAATAACAGCGTGTCGGTTTTACGGTCCCTGCACTGTGACATTGTAGTCGAATTGCGACGAACGGAACGCAGTGATTAAAAATAACGAAACAGTGTTCATTATACGAAGTAGAAAACTGTACCATTTCGAATATACGTGGATACACGATCTTGATAAAATCATCATATCTTCGATTCGATCGACAACCCCACTTCTCATAAACAGACACGTACAGCATAAATACAGATAAAGGTACATAATTCGCGAGTTACGTGAAAAATGTCATTAACATTTCACGGTCCGATCGGTAGTCTTCGTTCTAAGTAAATCTTAACCCTTTGTGGACGAAGATTCTCCGAAACATACAAAACCTTCAACATATGAAGCTAAATTACATATCAATTGCTCAATTAACAGAAAAAACGGAAACTGCGTTCTGTCCTCTTGTTGTTCGACCAATAACATCATTTTTTCAAGAGTTTTCTTTCGAATACGAACATTTCATCTTACCGCAATGCCGACATCCGTCCGCAAAGGGTTAAATGTCCACGAAACGAGCACGATTACCTCTAATCATCGATTATTATCTACATTTGATCGTTTCTATGCCGGTGATCATCCGAATCAGCCATTCCAAAATAACACGAAAATCCTCAATGAAATGAACCACGAATCTTCGGCGACTCGACGAAGAGACAGGTCAAAAACTCTTCTCCTCGATTCACGAAAAAGCCGACACGATTCCGTCGGAATCGGTCGAATCCCGCGATTCGATAAACTGCCCACGGACATTCGAGTATAATATTCGACCTATGCGAACACGTGTCTCCGGGAGAAACTCTTTTGAAGTCAAACATATGGGAGGGTTGGTCACTGGCGACGGACGAGGGTGAGGATCGGCGTTCCGACCCCATTTCGTCGGCCCGTCTTCCCACGGAAAATCTGTGACGCATAAATTCCCGAAAACATTTCCCCTCGCCCCTTGAATTCAATGTTAATGCCGTTCCTTCGATCCTTCCCTCCGAAACGTCACCGACGTTTCTCCTTCGACGATTCCTCATTTTTTCCTCTGTTTCTCTCACATTTTTGTCTTCTCTTCTCGCCGCGTTGCTATCGAGACGTCCGATCGGTAACAAAAAATCCTAACCCCTTGCCTTACGAGGTAATTCTCGACTATGATCGATACAACTACTTTATTATTAATTTATTAAGAAGAAGAACAGACTCAAGCATATTCTATATAATCTTTGCTCCAAAGTATAATAATCAATACAAGAATAGTATTAAATTTGAATTCAAAGTAATATTCAAACTAGTTCGACTCTGTTTAAAATCTACACTACGTATCTGACACGTTATTGCAAGGCAAAGGGTTAAGAACAGAAGATCATCACGCTCGAATGTTAAACATTGTTGGCGACGATTTACATCCTTATTGGCCGCGATTCGTCGCGTCCCTATCTACAATGTATTCGCAATGCAACATTCACATTCGCTGTTGTATGCCGACAGGATACCTCTGCCGCGATCTTAAAGGGGGACGCCGCCGGAATCAGCCCCGCACACCCTAACCGTTCCACGATGCAGCTGAACCACGACTTGTTTGCGACCGAGTCCTCGGTCACGCAGAAGACGAATTTCCAATTGTCGATCGCGAACACGGCGTTGCTGAGGAGGAACGACGGTTCCGGTGAGTATTTTTCCGGGCCGGAAACAAAACAATCGTCCCGAGGAGCTTCCAACCGGCGGCTACGAGTGACGCGCGGGAAAAATACGTGGGAACGATGTTCCGGAAAAATGGAATGGTGTTTAAATTATCCTTCCTGGCCGTGCTCGTCGACCTTTTTTTCTTCCTCCTTTCTTCCCGGCGACTCCTAAGTAAACGGGGAAAGGGACGTTTTCAATTAAAGGCAAAAAGGAATAGTCGCGCGGCCCGGCAGACTGACTTTACAAAATATTATGTAACCGAAAAAGTGACGTGTTTCGAGATCGACAGGTAAATCCGTGGGAATGGACTACGAAAATTCATGAATGAATATCAAAGTCCCGTGTTGCGAGTGTCGCTCGAAAACAGACGTAGCTTTTCGCGACAGATCTTAGGTACACGCTTTTCAAAGTCGCAGCAGTTGACTGGTTAAGAAGTTTCATCGATGCAACGCGTGTTTGGAAAGGTTTCTGCGTACGTTCGGTTCCGTGTTTGTTCCAAGTAACGGTGTAAACTTCTTCTTTTACCTAATAATGGTAAATATCGAGCAGCGCGCTTTGACCTACAAAATGGCGGCGTTACGCTGATTGTGGCGAGCGCGATCATCCCCGACGTCATCTAAAAATTCAAAAGCCAGCTACGTTATTATTGTACTTTCGAATTGTTGTTCGGTTCTCCTGGCTTCGTCAAGGAAAAGTTTAATTGCGGTCCCCGAAGGATATGACGTCGAGTGGTGCACGCCTATGGTTTGTTACGGCGGACTGCGAGGATGAAATCTGAGAAACAAGAACGGCGATCCTCCTCGTCGCGACGGCGTCTAACAGCTAAAAATCTATTATCGATAATACTTCTCGTATATTCCTGGCACGCGTGAACGTATCAAGAAAGATTGTTCGATCTGCAGCTTACACGAGAATTAAGAAAGTTTATTTTGAAGCTTCTGAGCTCAGCGTAACGGACTTTCTTTTATTCCGAATCTACGTTGCCACTTGGAGTGGTGAAGCAGAATAGAGTTGAATAATGTACTAATGACATTTTTATCGTGAAGTAAAGGGTTTCCTATCGAACGATTAACAGTTATGTATGTTGTTCACAATCAGTTATCAATGGAATAACGACGCTTCACACGTTGGAAGCATCGCAACTTAAAATTTAATGAAAGCGAAAGTTCATTTATCGGTAATTGAGTTGTCTAACAAGCGTACACGGCAATTTCTTTTCGTCCTTTATCGTTTTACAAGCTCATTTACATTCTGTATTGCAGATAACGATGTTTCTTGATGATTTTCGCGCGCCAGCTGCGACGATGCTCGAATCAGCGGAAATCTCATTGTCGAATGCACAGATGATGCCTATTAATGCGATTAAATCGTACGACGCAGCTGTTGTTTTCGCGGGTCACGTAATCGAATCCGTTCATTCATGAGCGTCCCTAATTAATCGTTGGAAAAGAGATTCTCTCAGTTAACACGTTTGTGACCCAGATAATTTTGCATATCATTTTAATACATCGTTGAGAATCTGGACACCGAAAGTGTGTCTCTTCGTCGAGACATTTCAAAAATTGTATTATGTTATTCTACTATTTTCCTTTAATCCGTTAGTTTCCTGTAAACTAACTGTCTTTCGAAGTGAATTTCGAATGGAGCAATTAAAACAATACGAAATCATCCAGAAGAAAGTGTGCAAGAAACTCCGAGTGCGAACGGTTAACGATCGATACGTTTGCAAAACGCTTCGGAATTTTAAAGAATCAGTTCCGCTGACGTCTTTCGTTGCACCGAGATTCTCCACTAATCGCGGATAAATGTTGGAAATTTAGTTTGCAGAGGGGAAAGGGGGACACGAGCGACGCACGCTGTACCACTGTCCGACCTAATCTCGTATTTACTACTCGACCTACAGGAGATTTACGATTCCGCCGCGGAGAGAGAATCGCGCAGCTTTCCCATTGATTTCTTACGCGTTCCAAGGAACTTTTTAACCCGTTGAATATCGATGTTCCTTTACGATAATCATTCGGTTAATCAAAGAACGATAATGGATTCGCGGAACGAGCTCGATGTTATCGCAGGCACTTTATTCCCGGAATTTGAATAACTGAAAATTTAAAAGCTAACCGACTCGAAGGTATGTACTCCGAGTTGTCTAATATTTCAGCGACTCGCATAAAATTTTCATTGTAATCGAAGAATAAATTTAACGTCGCTAGAAATTCATTTATAACGGTCGGCGATTTAAAAAGCCGTTTGAAAGTTTCAACGATCTGAATCGTTGTTTCGCGCGAAGAGCAAAAATCGAGAAAACGAATGTTTCGGCTTCTGAAATTATACGAAATATTCAGAAGCTATACAAAAGGCATTCTGACCTATAAAAAAAACGAAGAACCGAGTAATCCTTTGATAACTGAGACGAATATTATTTATCTCGCTAGAATTGAGAAAAATCAGAGAATATTAAGAAATCAACTTATTCGCATTGCTTTTGAGTGACTCATTTAATTCAATAGTACTTTAACATGACAATTTCGTCTGTTCTTTAAGAAACGAAGAAAGAACACGTTCGTTTGGGAAAAACAAAAATTGTACCTATATATCATACAATATACAATGTACAGTACATAAATATATAATGTATTATACAAGTACAATAACAGTATTATCAATAATTATAATAGGAACTGCCGGTCTGACAAAGATCACAAGGGGTTAAATCTGACGCTTCTATTACCTGGGCCTATTACAATGATACGCGTGAATGATCTCATAAATACATTAATAAATAGGCATACATGCAAATAGAGCGATGGCTGCCAGATAGTGGTGACTCGGCACTCGTCGCGTGGGGATTAAAGTGAAAGCGACAGTGCACCGATCCGCGATCACCGGTGTCAACGGAAAAGTATGAAACGCCGTCGTCTCCGGTAATTCACGATACACGGAAACACAAACACGCGGACGACATGTTAAAGGGGCGCGGACAGCATAGGAAATTACTATGAACTCGGCACCGGCGACTTCGCCTGAATAATTCATAGCCGGAGGTAAAAAAAAAATTGTCGGTAAGACAGTGTTCCGAAGTTGGGACCCTTTAAATATTCATGAAACGCGGCCGCACAGCGTAGATTACGAAGTCAATGCTACCTTAAAACACGATACCGGTCTCGATCGAAGGCGCACGCCAGATTCGGCGGAACGAGGATCACCGGAACACGATCGAACATTTCTCCGATTGTTCTTCGGTGTCATTACGTAACGCTGTCGTTGCCGATCGATTTCTCACCGTTCCGTCATATTTTAACCCTTGACGAAGATTCTGTGAAATATACGAAACCTGCGGTTGAAGTTAAATTATGTATCGATTGCTTAAATAATGAAAAAAAACCGTACTAATCTCTTGCTGTTTGAGTAAATAAATTATTTCTTTGTTATTTAGTGTTCCAATTATGACAATTCGATCTCTCTGAAATGTTGACATCCGTCCGCGAAGGGTTAATAATTAAGGAACTGGGTTTACGGACGTTTATCGAACGGTTTGACCTTTTATTCCTGGGAAATGTTCGCTAGTACTGGAACTGGTGTCTAATCGAAACTACCGGTTTTGTTTTTTTGTTCGGAAATTAATGATATAATATTCGAAATGATTTTGAAAATAGTTTCATTTGAATAATATGATGGGTGAATGAAGAAACTGAAAATGATCTATTACAATTTTTGTGGGGATTGTCAATCGTATGAAATGCTCGGTAGTTCTAGTGTTAAACATGGAGTATCAGGGAAAGTTGGGACACATATTTGTGTAATTGCACCAATCAAAACCGACATTAACGTGGATCGCGTAACGTTTGCAAAAGTCCCGTAAAACTAGCATCAGATATAATCGCCGTGAAAATTGCTGCATATTTTGCGCATTACACTGTTGTTATCATGTAGTAGTTAGCATGGTTATCGTTGCTGGAATAATTTTGCATGATTCTAATCGAACCACTTTTAACGTAGTCGATACCGGCATTCCAACAGTGTGGGAGGATACATTGTTGGAACAAGCACAGGGCTGTCTGTGGGCTGACAACCGGAAATCCGGGGTTGAAATTCAATAAGCTTCTCTTTATTCGTTCCCTTTTCACGACGTGCGCGTCGAAGATTTCCCCAAGCATGTTAACAAAAATACTTCTTTCGATGGTAGCTTCAGCGTGAAGCGACAGGAAGAATTGAACTTGCTAACAATTGAACTTCGTTATTTGAATTACAAATTTCGAGGGGATCGGAAGGGTGAAGGTCCTGAACTTCGAAAATTCGAATATTCCAAAATTCTAACGCCTTGAATCTCACAGAAATTGTAGATTCTCCGAATAAAGTTCCAAAATCAAAATATTTCAAGTTCAAACATTTCAAATTGTCAAAGCAGTGGAAGCACGGACAGTTAAAGTTTCAGAAACCCGAGAACTTTTAAGAATCCAAAGCTTTAAATTTGACTGGCATCGTAGATTCTCCGAATAAAGTCCCAAAATCAAAATATTTCAAGTTCAAGCATTTAAAAATTTCAAAGCATCGGAAGCACGGACAGTTAAAGCTTCAGAAACCCGAAAACTTTCCAGAATCCGAAGCTTCAAACCTTAGAAGCATTGAGAACTCCTCCAATAAAATCGCGAGTTGAAAAAATGTAAAAATTTCGATCGCTCGCTCGAATATTACCTAACGGCGCAGCGACTCTCGCTTGACAAGTGTCGTTATACTTGTCGAGGAGCCAAGTTCAAAGTACTTTAACCTCTCGCCGGTGAGCGGAGTTTTCGTCAAAACGATCGCCTTATAAATATGGCGGCTCGCGAGTCCAACCTTTGAATCGAGCCGTGCGTCGCGCGTTGCTTCATCGAAACGTTTCCCGGTCTCTGTTACGGGAAGAAAAGAAATAGAGTTCCACATAAAATATTCATAGATCCGACAACATCGGATCCCGAGATTCACCAGCGACAGCACCTAATTAACGCTCCTCCGTAATTTCGCCGCGCGCGAGTGCCGGCCACGAGGACGTCCCCATAATTGGTCATTTCCGAGGGGACAATGGTGCCGCGATAATGATCACCGCCGCCATGGAATTTTATGAAATTTACACGTTGTTCGATGTAAATGTCGGACAACAGCCGTGCATCGTCATTAAATAACGCCAGGCTATAAAATACGTTTCCATAATTTAAAATAGGTATCATTAGCGGTGTTCGTTACAGTCAAGGTCCGCCATTATTAAATTCCTAAATATTCAGACAACATTGATAACTGTACCTACGTAGTAGCTTGCAAACTGAAAAATAATTTACATGTTGGCATTCATCATAACAGATAAAATTGCATTCGTAGCAGAAACAATGGCCGAGAGAACGAAATTTTCAGTCTGTATAGTCCGTTGTACCAATGGAATTCTAGCTACAGTGTTAAACGGCGGTTGATTCATGGCAATCGTGCCTACTGTATTAAACTCCTTGCTCCGCGTACCTAAAGCAACAGGTGCCATTTGTGCGGTGGTCGATACCGTTAGTCGTCCACGACGACTAACTTTCGTTCCTTTAAAAGTGTTGACGCTCACTTGGCTGTCCTAGCTACGAATTCGTACAGGAACTTCGCTAATTATCACCACCGAAATATACCATGAGTACTGTCTCTAACATTAACACCATCAGCAGTTATCATTATTCAACCGAATTTCGATCGGTTCGCGTGTCAGCGTACCAATTCACCTAAAAGCCGGCCGCGAAAGCTGTATCTTTTCAATAATTATAAAACAATCGAGTCAGAAGTGAGTCACTTCGATTCAGGATAATTTCGACGAATTGCCAATTACCGATATTGCCAACGTCCGGGTAATATCACCAATTACCCGGCGTTTTTATCACCGTTATCATTTCCCATTAAAACAACACGCCCCGACATTGCCGGTTTGCCGTGATCAACGTTACGGACAATTCAGTTTTTACGATGGTCGAGCCGGGTGAGAGCTATTACACGACTCCAGCGGCCGAATTCAGCTTCGACTCGAGGAACTATACTTTTACGATCGTTGTTAATACTCAATAGAATAACGACGCTTCCCGGCGTCATCGGTTTGTCGTAGTTAATATTAAAGACGATTCTTCTTGCTTTTATCTTCGTTGATCATCGATGACAAGGTGTCCGCGTTTTATTGGTATTCGACATTTACATGTATTAATCCTTCACGTACGAAGATGCTTTGGAATCTACAAAGTCTTCAACGAATGAAGTTAAATTAAATATCAATCACTTAATTAATAGGGAAAAATGAAACTACGAGCTGTTTTCTTGCTGTCAGAGTAATTAAATCATTTCTCTGCGACTTTGTCTCCCAAATATGAACACTTCATCTCTCCGAAATGCCGACGTTCGTCCGTAAAGGGTTAACGTCATTGTCATTTTTCGTCGGTATGTTTCATATTGTTATCAATATCGTTGACGTTCGAATATATTCGTGCTCTAACTTTCGTCCTGGTAGATTACATCGTCGCGCCACGCTACAATTATTGTCCTCAGTACGACAAAGCGTACGAGGACTCGTTGAAGGATCCGGACAAGTTCTGGGGCGAGGTGTCGCAATGCATCGACTGGAGCAAACCGTGGACGAAGGTCCTGGACAATTCGAAGCCGCCATTCACGAAATGGTAGGTGTTCATTTATAATTTATATCCGTCGCCCGGGCGCCATCGATTCTTGCGCCTCGTTAATCTTTCATGAGCCATCATCTCGCAGCCGTACGCGTTAACATCGATCTTTCTCTCTTCTTTTTTTTCTTATTCCACAGCTTCGAGTCGCGTCGACGACGAAAGTTGTTAGAGGCTGTTTACGAATCAATGAAATAATTAATATCGCTGTTCTTGTAGTGCTGGTTAAACAACTCTGGTGGTAGGTTCAATTAGTGGCTACGTAATCGAATCAATGACTATGTAGATTGTCAACAATTCTAGTGTGTAGTCGAACATCGGTCTTGTCTACCCATAACGCGGAATATTAACAATTATCGCCTGGTTATTATTCATTTATGAATTCATTTATGAACATACGTAACTTCTATCGCGCACTACCTGCAAACCCTCATTCTACCTTCGGATTAATGCTTTTTAATTCTGATAAATCCGTCAACCCGTTATTCTCAATTTGTATTGTTTATCGACGAATATTCACTCAAAATTTGGTATTGTTTCATATGGACGTTTCGAAACTGCATACGAATTACGTTCAGGTTAACGATAAACCGAAAAGCTAAATTGCACATTTACCCGAATTTTCTTTTTAATTGATGTTCAACCGGTAATCAACTTTGTAAATTAATACCGTTGATTAATTAATAGGGAACAATCGTTCACCTGATGATGCGTCTACTACGACTTTCTTCGATTTCAACGAGACACGTGTTTAGAATACAAGTGAATGAAAACGTAATTTATTGAGACAGGAAAATGCAAATATATCGAAAACACGATGAAAGGTTTGAGAAATGTAACCAACGAATTCGTCGAGTAATGGGAATCTTGATGTGAATCGTATAGGTTCGTCGGAGGAGAATTGAACGCGTGTTACAACGCGGTGGATCGTCACGTTCTGAATGGAAACGGCGACAAAATGGCGTTGATTCACGACAGCCCTTTGATCTCGACGATCCGGCGAGTGACGTACAGCGAAATGTTGGAGAAAACATCGAAACTGGCCGGTGCCCTGGCCGACATGGGTGTGCGCAAAGGAGACGTGGTAATCATATACATGCCGTTGATACCGGAAACAATAATGGCCATTTTGGCGACCGCGCGGCTCGGTGCCGTTCACTCGGTAGTATTTGGCGGTAGGTATATTCATTAAATACTGTTCACTGTTAGATGCTATTTATTATTAAAATATCACTCAACGTTAGATACTATCTCTTATCAAAATATTATTTATTATAAAATACTATTGATCATTAAATATTACTTAATAATTCTCACCTTGACCGCTTCACTTTGGCCTATCCTATTAAACACTTTGACTGCTAGTCTTCCACACATGGTACCCATTTAATCGATAATGATACTCCATTTCTCAAATATAACGAGTACACATTACACCATACAATTTAATGTGTAATTAAAATGTAATTAAAAGATCGCCGATCTTTGAGCTCCAGTAACTTTGTAGCAAAAGTGCATTCGATGCTTGTACGCTAGTTAATACAGTTGTTACGAAATCATAGGGGAAAATGATTAGCAGCAATTACCATTCAGAATATTAAGTATCCTCTGCCACTTAAAAATTTGCAATGCATTAGAACTCGCGATTCCATTCTCATAGAGCGACTCGGAAATTCCGGGAAATAAAGATCGATCTTCTTCGCAGGATTCGCCGCGCAGGAATTGGCCACTAGGATAAATCATGCGAAACCGAAGGTAGTGATCGCTGCCAGCTGCGGCCTGGAGCCGTCCAAAGTGATACAGTACGTTCCAAACCTGTTCCCTTCGTCCACGAAATTGAAAAACGAAAAAGTACAAGAGAAATCTTGATAATCCTTAATGCATTACGTGCAGGTATACCATAATGCTCAACAAGGCGCTGGACATCATTACCGTAAAAAAACCACAGTGCATCATATTTCAGAGGAGAAATATATGGCAGAGCCCGCTCTGCGAGGGTCAACACGACTGGGACGATGTAATAGCGCGATCGAAACCTCATCCGTGCCAACCGGTCGCGGCGAACGATCCTTTGTACATTTTGTACACGTCCGGAACGACAGGTAGACTCGTTGCACCCTTGTTAATTAGAAAAATCCCAGAATCAGTCAGCGAGTAAAGAAATAGAACAGGACAACGAAAAATGGCCTGATTTCTTTGTATCGAACTAACGAGAAATTCCGCGATTCTAAGTGGAATTATTCTATGAATCCTCTGAAATTGAGTATGAATCACCTTATTGGCAATTCTAATCCCTCGAGATTTATGTAACCGTTGTCTATTACTCGCTTAAGCACTGAGTAAATCGTTTTTACCTGATCAATTCTATCGTCAATCCCGAATGAGAAATGATATTTTTAATAATTATAGTTAATATTTTTAAATAATATTATATACATTATATATATCATGAAACGTGAATCCCAACTACTCACATAAGTATCAAAAGATTCGACGGTACTCGATCGAGATAGCTCGCCCCATTTACCGTGGAATTCAGCCGGCTTTAAATTGCACATTATACTAACAAATCGAACGAATGAAGTCACCGCGCCCGTTTACATGACATTTTACAAGCATGAACTATCAGCGCCTGGCATTCCACAGCCCTGGTTACGCGCGTGTCATTGCATGGTTAATAGAACTCTGAATAACTGGCATCATTGTATCCGACGAAACTCATTAACTTCTAGTTCACGACGAAGCGACGGCCGTTTTTCAAGATCCGTTGGACATATCCGATTATGCGCGACGAAACTCATTAAACAACCGAACGGGTCGCGTGTGAATATATAGAAGTTCCATGAAAAGTCCGTCGCCGCCGTTCATCGGTGGTATAACCGGGCTGAAATGGACTTTCCGATCGTAGGTCAGCCGAAGGGGATCCTGAGGACGATCGGTGGACACCTGGTGTCCGTTTGTTGGACGATGAAGGCCGTTTACGGGTTGGACAAGGACGACGTTTGGTGGGTGGCGTCCGACATGGGCTGGGTGGTCGGGCACACGTACATTTGTTACGGGCCCCTCCTTTACGGGGCCACCAGCGTAATGTACGAGGGAAAGCCGGACAGGACACCGGACGCTGCCCAATATTTCAGGTACCAGTTTCCTTAACGCGTTGACTGCCACGAGAAACGTCAGAGTTTTATGTAACGCTTCTTATGGCAATGATAAAAAGCAATAGTTATCACTTGGTACTGCAATTCTTGCGTGAAACTGTTATACAGTTATTCACGGCATTGAAGATTTTCATCGGTGATCCGACGAATTGTAATTCTTTTCGAGTAATTCGGAAACTCCGGCGATTGGTGACCGTCGTGGCAGTCAATGCGTTAACACATCGACCGCGTGTTGCAAGGGTTAACATTGTAATTACCGAGCACTGGAGCAGACTTTTTCAAATTTCTTTATAAAAACTAGAAGTTTTAACAAAAATTAAACATGGTCGTGAAGCATTGCTGTTTTAATAATAATATTACCGGTTAAGTGTATCTGCTTCTTATCCCCTAAAAGCATCGGGTGTTTCGGGGAAATAACATGAAAAGGAGCCGAATCCGAATGTTAAAATGAATCTGTAATTGTTCAAAGGAAAAGGCACGGAATTAATTTCTACGCCTAGTAGTACAGTTAACACCCTCGAGTCCGTTAACAGTTCGTACATTAACAGGTTGCAGGCTAAAAAGCATTTCCTCTCTGTTTCGTTCCGTTTAAAATATTTCGAAGGAATGTTTATTGTCTTCTTCTCTGTCCCTCGGATTCCTATTTCACTGAAACTTCACAATTTTCGTCTGCACCGTTTACAATCTGGCAATTCTGATTAACCGCGGGATGCGTCTCGCAGGGTAATCGAGCAGCACGGCGTGAGCGCGTTGTACTGCGTGCCGACGGCGCTTCGCGTTATCAGACGCGCCGACCCGGACCTCGCGACGGGCCGGAATTACTCCACGAAATCGTGAGTAGCCTCTTCTTCCGTACTGTTCTCTGTCCCATTCGGTGGAGTGCACGCGCGCCGTTTGCAGATTGAAGACCATAGTCGTGGCCGGCGAGTTCTGCGACTGCGAGACGAAGCTCTGGGCGGAAAAGGCGTTCAAAGTGCCGATCCTGAACAACTGGTGGCAATCGGAGACTGGACACCCCATCACCGGGCTGTGTTTAGGATACGGCCATTATCCTAGCATACCAAAGAACAGCACTGGTCTACCTCTTCCTGGTTATCGCAGTACGTTCCCCCGAAAATGCGCATACTTTACTGGCTCAGAGAAGAGTCATAGAACGATTAGCTGAAAGAATTGTACCGTCTCAGATTTCTACCTGTGCTTCGCCGCTTAACTTTGTTCGCTAAACTTTAATCAGTTCTATTCGGGGCCATTGTCCACGATTTAATCTGTCACTCGAAGACCTGAAATTCAATTACACTTGAACAATACGGATTTAAAGACACCCTGCTTCTCAATGTTTCTCGCGTTCATAGTTCATATCGCTCGGATTTCATCGTTGGCTCAATGGCGTGCCTTCTTTCTTATTTCACTTTATTCAACCGACGCTAAGTCTGTCTGCGAGATGCCTTCTGCGTCTCGAAGGATTCACTCGTTTCGAAAGAATCGTTCACAAGCGAGCGTACTCCTGTTCCAGTCGACATTCTACGGGAGGATGGCAGCAAAGCCGAGTCCCACGAGATGGGAAGAATCGCTATAAAGTTACCATTACCGCCCGGTTGCATATCCACCCTTTTCGAGGCTGACGACAGATTCAAGCAAACCTATTTCTCGAGACATCCGGTAAGCCCAGCTTCACCGCTTTAACACTTTGACTGCCGAGTGAACGTTCATCGAAACTCTGGAATAAAGCAGAAACTAAGAAGTCAAGACTATCGCATATCCAACAAAGTTCGGTTCGTCCGGTTACCAAGAAAATTAATGTTTATGTAAAAGATGGTGTCACCCACGTTCGAGTGACGCGGTAGTCAAAGTGTTGGAGCTCTCTTTGCTTTGCTTCCATTTGGGTGGCACGTGAATTAAAAAATTATGTTTGCGAGCAACAGACCTGTTCTCGTTTGAAATGTTTCAACGAAGTTCGTTGCGGGGGACACGAACGAATTTGTTTAATTTCTAAAATATTGTTGCTTAAGCTCGATACTGTCGCTTAGACAGAAGGTTCACTGTCGGTCCCTAGGCACTGGGGATAACGCGTTAAACGAAGATAGCACTGATATCAATTGCACGACCGATGAAACACCTTTCAGGGCTACTACGACACCATGGACGTCGGCTATAAAGACGAATACGGATTCGTATACGTGATGGCGCGCGACGATGATATAATCAACGTCGCTGGGCACAGATTGTCTACGGCAGCCTTGGAGGACGTTATCATGGCGCATCCCGACGTCACCGATTCTGCCGTCATTGGTGTTCCTGACCCTACCAAAGGGGAAGTCCCGTTGTGCCTTTACGTAATGAGACCAGGTGACGATTCGACTGTCTTATCGGCCATTGTGACACCTTGGTACCGGTACCATTCATCGGTGCATTAACATTGATGTAAAGAGTAAAATTGAAACTGAGGTTGTTCGAGATTTAGATGTTAATATAGATTAGATCACTGTCACCAGTATTCAGCTGTTTAAGATGAACGCAACCCCCTAATGCAACTATTAAGCGTTAAAGAACGAATCGCTGTTCCTTAATACCAATGAGATCACGAATTGGATGGTTCCGTTCGCAGAAACGACGAAGAACGAAGAGCAGATCAACAAAGAGCTGGTGGAAGCAGTAAGAAGTTTAATAGGGCCCATAACATCCTTCAAAACCGCCGCAGCTGTGCGAGCCCTGCCCCGGACGCGTTCTGGGAAGATCATTCGCAAATCTATCGCCGATCTGGCTCGTTCCAAGCTCGTCAAGGTAAATGACCAGAAAACTAATATCGAGACGATATACATAAATTCTCTGGGAGTATCTCTTGCTCCGTGACAGACGGAACTGTTCTGATAAACGATGGTCCTAACGGAAACGATTCTCGCACACCCTCGGTACGCGAACGGATCTGTAATCATTGTAATCGTTAAATATTAATGAAACGCCTAGAGGATCACCTCGAAATGCCCGAGCATCTTTTTTCATTAATAACGAAACTGCTCGGTGGCAGCGGTCGTGAAGAGAATACGCGAAGTAATTCGATCGAACGGAAGTTACTATATCCGAGAAATGAATTTATCGTCGTAGAACTGACGTTTACTGGAATTTCTTTCCACGAAATCGAGAATACCGTTGGTCAGTCCTCTGACACTGACTCTAGAGTCGGCGACGTACACGTAACGTGCGGTGAAAACGGAATATAAAATGAAATGTCGGTCACTTTGTACGAGATAAAGAGTATATCGTTTATTCATTTACTATTCGCCAATGTAAAATATACCGTTCTTCATTTCTCTTCCAGATTTCAAGTACAATAGAGGACGCGTCGGTGTACCGCGAGATAAAAGAAGTACTTCAGAAGCTCGGATACGCTAAACTAGCGCCGGATCCTCAATGATAACTATAGTTAAGCTTTTACCATTTTTTATTATAAACCTTTGTCTCTTTCTTCTTCATAATCGTATATAAAATGTAATAAACCTACATACGATATATAGCTGACACGCATAGGAGTGTGCTTGAGAAAGACGCGTCGACGAAACTCCGATTCCCCCAACAGTTAATCCATATAAATTGCACGGAAATCTATGTGTAACATTGTTTCTGAACGGTACAATAAAGTGAACAGCTTTTTTAAAAACAATGATGGTCTCCCCGTGAACATGAAACGACGTCGGAGTTTAAGCAACTTAATTGTAGCTTCCACTCTCGCTGTATAGGCCCATTTTCTTATTTCTACAATAATTACATCTCAACGGATCGTCAATTCGGAAAAAAAAATCAAAAGAAAAGGAAAAGAGGAAAATGAAACGAAAATGAAAGAAAATCAGTCTGTTCCATGCGAATCATGAAACAAGAATGGAAAGAAAAAAAATAACAGAACTATCTCGATCTCGCTTCAATGTATGCCGAAGGTGTTACGGCGCAAAAAAAAAGAAAAGTACAACAGAATTCGTTGCTATCGGACAATTGTTAAAACGTAAGAAAAGCTCGGTTCGATAGCACTTTTCGTTAATAGGTTTCGTCGCGAAACGGAGGTGAGATATCGAAAAGTAAATTGAAAAAAGAAATAAGGAAATCATGAGAACAAGGAAATAAACATCGTAGATACATTCGAACGTGAACGGCAAAGAAAGAGAAGAAGCAGTAAGAACGTGTAAAAAAAGCACTCACAA